ATCTCTCTCTCTCTCTCTCTCTCTCTCTCTCTCTCTCTCTCTCTCTCTCTCTCTCTCTCTCTCTCTCTTCATTGTTTGTAAATCATAATATTGATGCAATTATCATTCCTCGTAACAGCGATCCTCACATTCACGCTTTGAAGAAGATATACTTCTAATGTATACACTCTAATGTATACACTTCTAATGTATACATTCGCAGACTACTGATACTGCTGTTGCAGAAGATGAGTTGCAGGCGCACGTGCATTATTTCGTGCAACTCCCCATTCCCTGCAGCTACGAAACGCGTCACGTTGTAGACACGTTAGCGCGGGCACGTGTAACGGCAACGTGAGCATAATTTAATCACTGTAAACAGGCACTTGGACGAGGTAGAATCTGATGCATATGACCCATCGTGGTATAATAACGGCTTCGTAATAACTCTAAAGGAGATGCCTCCTATCTGTAAGCGCGTGTATCGATGCATCAACGACAAGCGCAACACGCTTGTGATCGAATTATCGTCATCTTCTCGTTTCGATTTTTCAAATAAAAAGTCGACTCGTAAAAATGTAGTTTTTGCGGCGAACGATAATAATATAATTGCACGTATAAAATATTTATATTGAAATTACATATAATCATTTATTTCATAAAATTTACATCTTACGAGAAAATTTCGCTTCATAAGGCTTAAGATTAACTCCTTTTTCTTTTTTTCTTTTCCTCTCCAGAAATAGGAATATTTGTCTTATTAAATCTCGCACACACCTTTCTCTTTCACTACAGTTTTGCGAAATGAATCAGAATAGTCTCGAGAGATATAAAAATGAGAGGAAGTAATTCTCATTATTAGTTATTTCTATTAATCGCATTTTACAAATATCTATTAAAATTGACACTACTATATTACAGATGCAAACCGAGTTCCTCCGATTTCTGTCGTAGATCAATTTCCACTTCAACCCGAAGACAGCCGATATTTTATCGCGATAATCTGTAATTAACTCGTATTCCGAAGAGAAACGGCTTCACGTTTAACGGAAGCGCAAACAGCTTTCTAGCGAGCTTTATTTTAGATTTCTGTGAGCCCCAAAAGTGAAGATATTGATGATTACATTGAATTGCGTTGTCGGTCAAATGCGTCCCAGAGAAACAAAGTCGGCGGCACTTGTTCAGTTTCGCAACGTGAGAGCGAAGACAGTCGTGACTTCGCTCCTGTCACGGCTTTACCACCACTGGCTGCTTCAGCTGATCGCCGACCACGCGGTCATCCGTTTCGCTCGCGCGATCTTCCATCCCGCTTGCACACGTACAACTAATACTCGAGAATTTAAAGAGCCATAACTGGCGAACGAGTCGACGTAATGGCATGAAACAAAAAGCAATCTTCTCGGCGCGCGATCCTGTGCGTGTCTCCGTCACTCTTTTACCCGCAAGCTAATGTCACGACAGATTTAAACCGGGAAGCCCTTTGCACGACTGTCTTCTGTCACACGCGACAGAATCAACTAGATTTTTCCCTTCGTCCCTTCTGCAGTTTCTCTAGTCAAAATTAGGACAAAGCATGATGATTCTTGATCTGCATTTTCTGTTCGCTATTTTTGGGAGTGACGTGAATGGGAGTAAAAGAGAAACTTTAATAGAGATGAGAGAGAAACTCTAAAACTGCAGCTCTAGGATAAAGCACAATGCAGTTTCTCTCTCACTCACTCACTTGTCTCCTCTTTACAAATAGCGGACGGTGTCCTAATTCTGACTTGAAGAATTCTAGCCCCTCCATCGTAACAAGATTGATGTTAGTTATTACTGCGGATCGCAGTGAATTGAATGAGTGATCGATAAGAGGTAGCTTGCAAAGCACAAAGCCGAGTATTTTGAAAACAATTAAATCGCTGTCTTTTTATCGCGGTGATTTATTAATCCTTTAGAGTCCGAACTGTTTTCGACTTTTCCTTTCAACCGGCTTCGTAGAAATTAATTTATTTCGCGACATTGTCGCGTAATCTGTTTTCAATATTAGATTAATGCAATAACATATTCACAGTAATACATTAAGTATATATAGTAAATATATATATACTATATTAATGAAATAAAACTTGATTTATATGGTATCGATTAGAATGAAACTCAATATCGAAATAAAACTGCGAAGGATTAAGACTCTGTGCCTATGAGATTTTATCAGTTGATTAAGTACGAAGCAATCCGTATAAGAATCGTTTGCGACGAAGATAAAGAGCGTACATTGTTATTTTCATTTTTAAATGCACATATGCGGCATGTGTCGAGTTTCCCATATCTTCTTTCCGGCGCGAAACTTCTACTGAGAAAAAATCGACCTCAGATTGCTGGACTGCTAGTTCGCTTAAGAACATGTGCTCACTAGCGATGTAAATTAGAGGACATCGAAATTTGCTTGGAAAGTATTTCCGACGAGAGGAGCTATCTTGAGCAGCAGCAGCTCATTAAAAATCTCATTACCGAGTATATTTAAATCGCCAAAAATTACCCCAGCCACGAAAAGACACGGATCACATTACTTTATCGCCGAGAGGAGTTCATCCCCAACGCCACTCAAGCGGACTTTAAATATAAGATAAAATATAGCATACGTGATACGTGTAATGCGATTATCGACTTTGAGTTCGTGGAAACCGCGGGAATGAGTGACATCAGTGATGAAAACTAAGATATCAACTTAACACTTATTAGTACAGAAATTGTGTCTCTTCCAACGTTCTCATGAAAAACGACAATATACGCAGATCTATCGTTGATCTCAATGATAGACAACGGTGTGCCCGTCATAAACGAGCACGCGCGATCAATATTCTCCCGAGCAGCGCGAACGAAGAATCTCGTTGATAGCAAGCGTCTCATCCGAAAGATAACAACTAATGAAAATTTCCCGACGCCTACACATAATTAAAATTCAAGCGGACACTCGACTAAGAAGATAAACGTTAAAGAGGACATGCTTTCCTCCATTTCCACATGTAACTTTGAGAAAAGAACGCGATACCTTTAAGTAATCTAATATTTCTAAACGATGTTTTCTCGCGAAGCGTCTCTAAAGTCGTGGGATCCGAATTACCGGTTTGATTAATTTTCATGTAAATCCGCGTCCGTTTGAGCAATTAAGAGTAACGCCATATTTCTTCCTTTTTTTCTCTCTCTCTCTCTCTCCTTTTTTCGACTCGCCACTTACCACGCTGCCAAATTGGAGTGCTAGCTGGATTGCTGTCCACCTCGCATTTCAGGCTGACGGACATCCCCTCGACGATCGGAATTCCAAAACCAGGTAAACGCGTTATCGCGAACGACGGAGTATCTGAAACAGGTATTAAGCAATTAACGTCAGTGCCAATGTCAATGCGCTCTGGCGTGTCGAAGATTTCACGGCAACATCGAAAAGAGACACGGCTATAACTTGAATATCGTAGCGCGAGCGAATTGGATTAAAGCGACGTCCGATGCAATCTCATCGCCCTTCAACTACTCCACTTTTGAACGAGACTCGAAAATATCGCGGAAACAATCGCGGATATCGCACACATTTGTTAATAATGAGTTTATTCGATTTTTCATCGGAGTCGCTCGTTCGACGGCACGCGACAAAATTGCGGGCGCAGAATTCGCTGAACGAGCATCAACACAAACCCGAGTAAAAATGTATCTAGTAGAGCAGATTTCAAGACAAATAGCTACACAGTAATGACTAGATAAGTTTTCTAGCCAGTCACCAGCTCGTGACTGGCTAAATATTCCTACTCAGTCTTTTGAATGTCAGAACTATCTAGTGACTATACCAATTATATAAATAATAGCTAGATGAAAAAGATTACACAGTAACGAGATAGAAAATCATCGGTAAATCCTGAATAGAAATTGGATATTAGAACTGCCTAGTAACTGTACCAATTATAGTTACAAGTTACTTTTTTGTATCCAGCTACTAAATAATTTTTCTGGTACAGCCACTAGAAGAATTGAGCGTTATATTCCCAGCTAGTAGCGATGTAAGACCCAACTTTTCTGTGTCATTACTAGACAATAACTAGATCCAATTTTTGCTCGGGAACAGAGTCGACGTTGCTCCATGTTATCTTGTTCCTCGTTGAGAGATTTAGCGCTCGTCTAGCTGAATCCCCTAATGAAATTCAGAATGAGAACAGCGTCGTTTAATAAGCAATTCGGAAAGTCGTAGACGATTGCTGCGAGTCGCAATCTTATTTCGCGGGTAATAGCAACTCCACGAACCCGGCAATGCGCAATTTTCGAATAAGATCTCCGCGCAGTAATCTTGAAATGTATTGGCCGTCGTAATCCGGTTTCCACGCATTCGAAAGTCATTCCTTGTGAGAAAGACGCCTTATGCATTCTCTCTGAGGACGGATATCGGGTCGCTGTGGATTGAGTTTTATGCGCGCGAAAATAGCCAATCTTCGAGTAAAAACAGTAAATTGTGTCTCAAGACGATGGCGATTACCGACGATACAATTCGACGGCGAATCCGCCCCACATCGCGGCTGATTTCGCTCTCCGTCTACTCCGATCATCATCTAATATACGATTGGGACGCATATCAAACTGAGACCAAATCGATTCGTGCTCGTACACTTGAAGATAATATCGTTGAAAATATTTTAGTCGTTCTAACGTAAAATGCAGACCAAAAGAAATATTGGGAAAATTTTTGATTTCTCCATATAAAATAGCATATTCGAAACGTTACAGTCTGAGCAGAACCTATAATTATTTTGGGGCCCGCTGATCCCAAAAAATTTTCGAGATACCTCATCCAATAACAGATTTATCGTCGCACGATATTTGCGTCGACATAAATTGTCTGTCGAAATTATTATGAAATGAATATGGAGTTGTAAAGAGGACACGGAAAGAGGAGACGAAGGGCAAAGAGAAGCGTTAGCTATCGGACTGCTCGTTATAATGAAGAAGCAAGGGAAATAATTGAATGCATCAAATGTCTCTAGAAATCAAACGTAATTATCGCAGATGCGCGTTTCTGCCATAACCTTTCTGGCAATCATTCCTCCACCGCCCCGCCCCCCTCTCTCTCTCTCTTCCTGCGTTCGCTACGAGCTTCTCTTCCGCGTCATTAACGACCAGCATCGAACCGAGTGACGGGGGATTCAGGCATATCCTGGTGTATATAGGGCGACCGAACAGCCGACGGGGTTGGTACAACGACCGGGAAGGACAACGAGAGGCAGGGGAGGATCAAAATCGTCGTCGAACAAACGAGGTATAGGTACGACGAGGTCGTGGCGAGTAATTAACGAACGGGACAGTCAAGATTTTACGGTCGCCACGGTCGTATTCGTTAAAAGGCACCAACACCAGCGGCAACCAGCACAACCGTCACCGAGAACGCGGCATCCCCACGAATGAACGGAAATCCCCGGTGCTCCGACATAGTAGGCGGCCCGGTACAGAGTGCGAGAGGTCGAGCGAGCGGGCGGCCGCTCGATGCCGCGCTCCGGCGCCGCTCCAGCGATTTGCCATTGCCGTTATATCGCTGTTGGGCTCGTTAATATCGCCACCGCTAACGGGATACGGCCGGCGGGGTCGCGGAATAAATTGGAGATGCGTCAAATTGCGCGAAAGAAGGTAGGAGACGAGCCACTGGAGAACGTGACGTGAAAGGGTGAGGAAGGGTCGCGGCGCGAGGGACGCGCGGGGCGCGAGAATATCGGAAGTGGAACGTGGCAGGCGGGGAGGTATGCGAGAGAGGGATATGAGACAGAAAAAAAAACAATGAAAAAAAGATAACGCGGAAGATAGAGCGAACGAGCGAGCGAGAAAGAAAGAGAAAGAGAGGAAGGGTTGGAAGGAAGGGGAAAGGGAAGGGACGGCACGACTACCAGGATGGGTCGAAGTTATTCACTCGGCTATAATAGCGCGGTGCTGGGACAATGCAAGCTTAATGAAAGCTTCTCTCCCTAGCACACCGACGAGCTCACCCCCCGCGTCCCTCTGCCGCTGCTTTTCGCAGGGGGCCATCGTGGCCGACACCAACGCCACCGCCACCAGCGCAGAGGGCCGATGCAGTCCCCGCGCGCGCAGCAGCGTAAACACCAAACAAAGGGAACAATGAGACACAGAAGTGTCCCACAGACCTCGATCGCTTGATGAGAACTTTAAAGCGCGCCCCGCAAACTACCGGTCCGCCGGTTATGTCAGAAGCGACGTCACGACCGCGCGCGCGAACGCCCGCTGAAAGTTTTTCGTTTCGCGACAACGTTAAATCTTCTTCAGTCCCCCTAAAAACTCAAGGATCTCCATTACAAATTGCTCCTACGAACGCTTCTATCATCACGAAAGTCACATTTCGCACGAACAATGAATTCGAAGTCGCGAGATCCCCTTCATTCGCAGCGAAAGCGCCCCTTTCAACTTTTTTTTGCAAGCACGCCGACCCCGCGGTTCTTTTATTTCCCCCGCGAAATTAGAGAGAATACAACCTCGTTATACACAGAGGCCAATAATGCCTTCCATTTCCGGCTATGATATTTTGGCCCGGGCGCATCGTATCTACATATTTTTGCATCATGATTGTTGATTTGCAGAAAAGCCGGCAACTTAGTTACATTAAATGCAACAGTAATAATGCGGCGTGTACATTCGCCGTGTATATTACCGCTGCATTTAATGTGACTGAGTTTGCTGATTCTTCTCAGAACCAACAGTCATGATGCAAAAATATGCAGATATAGTGTGCCTGAGCCAAAAACCCTAGCTGGAAATGGAAGGAGGCATCACTAGAGTCCCCGCGTACCTTTGTATACGCGTTGTCATTGGCGACACCGAGCCAGCAACGCCGAAAACATATTGCTTTCGTGGTAATAAGTAATTGATTGTGCGGGGGAGAGGGCCGCGTCGTTTTGCGGATCTTAAGACGACATAGGGATCCCATCTCCCGCCTGTGAGAAATGAATCTCTTCGAAAGAAATTTCTCTCGCCGTTTCAGCCGGAACGCTCGTAAACTTTATACGGGCCGTTAAGCAAACCTGTGTACGACCTGCGGGAGAGGATTTTGCGAACGCGTGTACGTGGAGGGAAAGGTGGGACGCGCGCACGCGAATCTACGGCGGAGTATTTCTAAGCGGTGGAAATTTGCCATATAACAATCCGTGTTATACTTTTATACACGGGCGCCTTAATGAATTCAGTGGCTGAATATATTACATTGCACGCAACTGCTCGCGCCGTTACATTTTTCGAAAGGTTACGAGACGTCCCGCTACATATATCCGATCTAGGGAAGACACTTTTGCGCAGCGAGATTATTCTTCCAACGACTGGGCTGCGCTTAACGCGTGTTAGTCAGCCGATTGATTCGCTTGAAGTCGGAAGCGGATCCGCACCGGTCAAAGAGACGTAATCACGGAAATACGAGACGCAGATTGCACGGGGAAAATATTGATAGAGGAAATTGCAACAAAATTTTTGTAATCTTGGACCGTATAGAATTATATCTGAAATTACTATACATTTGTGTTGAAAAATGTTATGCACGTTTGACTTTTTACTACAAAATTATTACAATTACTTGAAGGTTTGTACCGTATACTGGATAGATTGTTGGATTTGTTATTTTTATAATTTACACTACAATATCAGTATAATCTAGTTTTATAAAAAAAAGACAGTAAAAAGAAATATAATTTTAACGCAACTTTTATCTATAATATTTTCCCCATATGGGAGGATAGTGCTCAACGGGGTCAACAGACTAAGGGAAAAAAGAAACGCGATTGGTGATGTGCGATCGCAAATCATTAAATGACTATCGCCGGTATAACCGTGCCATTATCTCGACGACAAACCGCCGAACGGCTCTCGTCGCGATGCGACCGCGCAAATGTTCGCTGTACATATTTGCGGAATGGCAAAATGGCCGGGATCACACGTCGCGTGAATAGAAGCCGCGGGATTGTAGCGGTCTGCAAAAATTCGGCCCGCCTGTTGTATCGCCGGTGTCATCTGCGCTGAACGGCTCTCTCTCCAGCACCGCTTTTAAACGCATCGATGTCCCAAACGAGACTTTCCGACGCTTTCCCGCTCCCTTACGGTCGTTTCGAGCCCCAAGAAAGTTGGAAACAATAATCTTGCTTGAAATCCCTTTTAAATATAGCACAGTCGCGCGCGCACACACGTGCACGAGATGTACACACGGATAGAATTTTATAGCACGAGTTGCCATCGAATTTTGCGACGGAGGAACGTATCGACGTTTCGCCTTAATTTTTATTGTTCTTCTATTTCGTGTGCTGTTCTTGTCTTCTCAACTAATCTACGCGGAGAGAA